GAATTTATTGCACTCGTTGAATAAAAAAATATTATGCTCGCCAGAGGCTGGCATAATATAATTTTATTCAACTCGTGCAATAAATTCAGTATTGAACTTACACTCATTCAATATCCTCTATGTATTGCTTATCCATGTTCTAGTCAGATTTGATGTTGTTTTTTTCCAGTTAAGTATATACAGATGTTTATAGTTATCTATAAGATCTAAATACTATTTTTTTTGTGTTTGAGGTACTGTGTATCTCATTGTCAAACTAGTATGTTTATATGCATGTACATAATTTTATATTCAGTGATCAGAAAATGACATGTATATTACTTACCTATGTAATAAACATACATTATATGCATTAAGGTAACACAATAAGGATTTATCCAGAAGGATGGGATATTGTCATGCTACTATGACGTGAAATATGGCGAATTATGGTCATCATGGCCTTCTTGTTACTTTAACAGATGTTTTTCTGTGTATATATGTATATAGTTTTCTTAGTATGATTTTGTATAATTTACAAAGATAAGTATTTGTGTATTATGTATACGTATTCTATATGTTCATTAGAGTCATCATGGCTGTCTTGTTACTTTTATGATTTTTGTAAACATGTATAAAGTTTTCTTAGTGGAATTTACCATTAGGGTTTGTAAATGCCCATATTTCATTTATTGCCAGGACACAACTCATACACTATTGAATGTATCTACATGAAACGTATTTGGTAGTTCTAAATATCTGATTGAGGTACAATGTATATGTGAAAATTTTGTAGTAATTTACCTTTGTAACAGTTTATACTAAATTTTCATGCAGAGCATACCTTTAAAGGCACATTATGCCTCAGAAATCTGTTTTTATACAATTCTTTAGAAATGTCAAACATGTGTTTAATAATGATTTTAAGAACATGATAGATTTTTTAAAATAGCTGGGGAAAGTAGCGCTGAATGTGCAGTTATATGTCCTAAAGTGAACAAAATGTAAACAAAAGTAGTAGTTTTGCTTGCATACAAAATAATAATATACTACAATTGCCAACAAAGCAGCTCCATCAATTTTATGACGAATGAGTATTTTTTTTTTGAAACTGTAAGAAAATACTAAAACAAAGTTTAAAAAAAAATATTTCTGAGGCATAATGGGCCTTTAAGTCTGTAAGATGTTTGAACATGAAATATTATATTATCATTCTGACAAAATGGCATTTAAGGTCATTGCAACTTATTTGCAATAGAAGAGAGGCTGTTGTAAAACTATTTGAAGATTTATATTGACATGTTATGATGAAAATTTATTAAGTTTTTTTTTAAGTTGATGAAATGTTGGTTAAAGTCCTGTTATACATCAGAAATGCTATCATTTTACTTCTTATTTTCATCAATCTGATATTTACAATATATTTGGACCCTTTTACAAGTTTTAGAAAATGCCAGAATTAGGTTATTTCTATATATATTTCTACATATTATTAAGTAAAGGGAGATTAATATGAAAAAGTACATTTTGTTATATATATTATAATAATTATACTGGCAGTACTGATTCAAGTAGGATATGTTTACAGTAATCTTATCTTTTTATAAATTAATGTTCTATGCATGTATGTAGATTATATCATGATAGTTTATATATTTAATATAAATAAAATTGTGAAACAACATTGATGTTTTAGTTATGATACACACAAATATATATGTACGTAAATCAGTTTTTTAAGGAAAACTTGGGGTCTGAAGCTGTATAACACAATTATCCTGGATGTTGTGTCCTAGTGGGGAAATACTCATTATGTACCGCCAGTACTGGTTGAGTCCAGGAATAAAGAGAACACACATGATTGATTCTCAATCAAAACAAGTTAGAGTGGTCGTACTGTACAGATGCAAATTGTCGAAAAGCAATTATTAAGGTGGCTTTATTATGAAAGTACATTTAATATATGAACCAGAACAACAAGGATAGAGACCTTTTGATTGATGTTGACTAGAAAGAAAAAAAAATTACAAAATTACTTAGATAAACAAATCAAATGCTGGCCACTTGATGAAGGTTATACTCTATAATGACACTTCTAGTTAAAACAAAACCTAGCCGCATTATTAACAGCTTGAAAAAGGGTAGTCTTTCCCAAAACTTAAGTTTTTTTAATACAATTTCCAACTTGTTCCGATGTTATGTGTTCCTCTACATAACAGCAGAGATACACACTGCATAACAAATCAAGGGTCATAACCTTATTAATGGTTTCCATAAAGTTTCATTGAATTCCTGCCAGTAGTTGCAGAGAACTAGCGCTGAAATGAAATTCGGACAGACAGATGGAAAGCACCTATATAAAAGAACCAAAAAAAGCAATCTAACAATAAAGTGGAAGTACTTAATATTTTTTTCAATAGATGCATTGTAATGCTATCGTAATATCCTGGAAACAATATATCAATATACTACAAAATGGCTACTGTGAATCCATTTTATGCCCCCATGAGTTATTCCCCTTTATTACTTGATGCTCAAACGCTTTTACTAAATTACAAATATGTTTAATTTACAAAGTGTTATTCGCTTAATGATAACAAGATAATGCAAAGATGTGGCTGACCTTGTAATGTATCTCGGACAAGTTTAGTCTGTTTAAATCACTAAATGAATTAACAAAACTGAATTAAATGTAATTGTTGCTTTTTTTCGAGACATATTTATAATCAATACTGGCAAACAAAAATGAAGTTCGAAAATAAACAAAGCACAATTATAACTAAAAAAAATCATGGAGTACACAGTACCGGCTTTTGTGCACTGCACTTCATCTCAATGAGATCTATCATCCTATGAAGTTTCATGTCCACAGCTTTTATAGTTTAGGAGAAATGGCTCGGACAAAACTGAAATATGAAAATTAACAAAGGGAAATAACTCAAAAAATAAAAAAGTGCAGAGTTCCAGTTATTGTGCAATGCACTCCTTCTCATTTCAAGTCCATAGATTTTAAAGGTTAGGAGAAATGGCCTGGACAAAAAAAAGTATGAAAATTAACAAAGGGAAATAACTCAAAAATTCAAAAGTGCAGAGTAATTATTCTTATGCACTGCACTTCGAGTCATTGAAAGTAGCAGGCTGACGAATTTTGGAGTCAATCAGACTTATTCTCCGCACAAGTCTCTGGGGACGCCACCACCGACAATGCCGGCAACAAAAGTAATACCTATATGTCGCCTTTGTCAAGGCGACACAAAGTAGTCATGCACTTTCATTAAATGAATTTTGATACATTTAGAGTATTTATACCATTCATTTTATTATTAGTATATTTAAAATTGAGTTAATATGTCCTATAGACTCGAGTTATATCAGCTGACGACCATTAATCTTGTAAGTGGCAATATAAACTGTATTTGAGTTGCGCCATGACAAAACCAACATAATCCGTGCAGTCTGATCAGGATGCTTGCTGTTCGCTATCAGTTTCTCTACTTGTTATAGGGTTTTTTAAGGGAACAGCATCGATCCTGATCAGACTGCGCGGATGCTGGTCTGGATCCATGCTGGTCGCAAACCTATTATGTTGGTTTTGTCATGGCGCCGCTCATTTCTATATTGATATGCTAGGAGACTGAATAAATACAAACGAAACCTTTGGAACAGATATATAATTGTCTTAAATTTTTGATAATTTAAACATTGACAGGCAAGGTCAATTAAAGGCCTAGGTCATATCAGAAAACTGAAAACTGTTGGTTTTGGAATGTGTGTTCTTTTGTACAGGTATGAATAAAATCTGTGAAAAGATTACACAAGTTATCACAAATTAAACTTTTAGGAAATGTATAAATAAAATGCTAATAACAACAATAAATGACAGACACATTGCAATAACAAAAGCTTACCTCTCAAAACCAAGTGCTCAAGTGAGCAAAAAATAAATCAAGTCTTGGCATCGTTGTTAGCATTTATTTTTCTTTATTTTCTTTACAATTTAAAAGAAAAAATCTTTCAGTCTGCTTGTTTGTACATTTAGCACAAGTCTAACTGCTACATATAATTAATTATAATTTAGTTTCCTCCTTCATTATCTTACACTTTTACAACTACAAATATATATGTATAAAACAATCATTCATAAGTACACTTACCCTAGTAAACAATAAGTTCACGTTTTAAGTTTTTATTTCATAAACTAAATGTTTAACCGTTGCATGAATTTATTCAAGAAAATGAATTTTATCAAAATAAAAACATTTAACTTTAACGTCAGATACTTCTTAAAAAATACAATATGAAATAAAACGAAATTTATAGTTCAGACTGACTTTACCTATGAAATACATTATGGTAAGAACATTCTAGTATTAAAGGTACATATGACATTACTTTTGTAACAGAGGCACTGAAACAATTTCCAGGTCTTCATTTTGCTTGTTATAGATATGTGTAGATCATCATGTGATAGTAATGCTGACATTGACATGCATCAGTTATCAAAGAACAGTAAAATGTTTATTTTTTCCCCAAAAAAATTGGAGGAATAACATTTTTTTTTTAAATACAAGACATCATGGCCTATTGTCATTTTCTTTATGCGTATAAAAATATTAGACAAAGAGGTCACTCTAAACATGCAGAACTGATTGTGAAGTCTTACATTAATAGGAATTGAGGATGTTGAAGGAAGAGATAACTGGTCTACAAAAGACCACATTACAGAGGTTACACCTTTAATTGTTTGTCGGAAATATAAAACAAAACAATTGTCTAAGATCAAAATATGAAAGGTTTACTATTTAATATAGGTATTTTATAGGCATATTGGAAAAAAAAAGTCCAGCTTGTGAAGGTTAATTTCAGTCCACTAATAACATTTACAAATCTTTTCAATACATTTGACTACACATTACAATAATAAAAAGAAGAAATATATTAATATACATGGCTGGCATTACTCCGTAATCTATAAAAAAGAGCATTTGCACTCAAACCTAGAAGTATAATGACTAAACAAACAAAACTGCTTCCAAAAAACAAGTAATACAGTAAAATCAGAAAAATTTGTAATGCAAAAAAAACCCCTTTAATCATGTTTTTAGCATTAAATTTTTAGAATTGCATGTGTGAACTGTAAGCTACATTTAACAATGTATCTCAGGTATTTCATTATTCTATCTTTTCTAATCATGGTAATTTATCTGTTTACTGTATATACTTGGCAATTTAAAGTAGACCCTCAGCTGCCCTTCTGTGCATTAATTGTCACAAGTGAGCATGTCCAATATTCCATTAGTTTAAGACAAGACTGGACAGTTAATGGCTTAAACAAACAATCTTAATTTCACAGTATATCAATACAAAACAAATATCACAGATCTATGAAAAAAAATCCCTGCAACTAGTTAATAAAATACTATCTTTCCTCAATGTTCAAAATGAGCACTTTCATTTTCAATGAAATCAACGACTTTCAAAAGTTACCAACAAGAGTATGAAAATGCAAGGGTATCACAATTTCTTAAAGTTTATATATCTTGCATCCTTTACAGACTGGACTTCAGGCTTTGACCTTCATGCTACAGGTACTGTTAGACCTTCGTGAAGTCTTTTATCATTATTCAAACAATAAATATATCTAAATTGTCAAAATAAACTAACACTGATACATGAGCAATATCATCTAATTAAAGGATGAGTGTATTATTTTAATAGAGTAGAAAAAAATAAATAAAATCCCTTATATTTCAAATGCAAAAAGGTTATGAAACAAATTCTCTAGACCATAATGCCATTTTAGCTCTACTTCATGATTCTCTGTTCTCAATTCAAACCCCAGAATATAAAATTCATGTGCAAGCTCTTAATTCTACTCAGATCACTCATTTAGCTGTAACTGCAGATGAATAAGCATCTGCATCAATCAGATCAGAAAGAAGCATCTGCATGAAATCAGATCACAAAAGCTTTTACATAATTCAGATCAAATAGCTGCCTATGTCTGCTGCTGCAAACTTTGCTTCTTGCGAAAGATTTTGTTCATTGTCTGAACAGTATCTGTCAATAAATCATTAAATATTGTTTCAGTTAGTTGCATTTTCACTGCTAATTCATCATCATCATAATTAACCCACTCAGGCTCTTCTTCACGCAATTCTTGCACCAAAATTTTGTCAACAAGATCCTTCTTTTTACGAATACCCCATTTAGTCTTTTCCGACAATTTTTTGGCCCCTTTTAAACCTAATATGTCAATAACTGCTTCCTGAACCACAGGTTTTAGCACATCTATAGTAATCGGAGGGGAAACACCTTTATAAAATTTGTTAGTTTTTCGTTTCGGTTTGTGCCAAGCAACAGGAGAATCATATTCTTCCTCTTTATAAATGTTTCTAATACTTTCTCAAAATAAATCAAATATTGTCTTGAACACACGTCTACTGTTACTTAACAAATCTGAGTCAATCTCTTCATGTGTATAAAATGCTTCTGAAGGGTGGAGATCGGTTAATGGCTCGCCATACTGTCTTTGTTCCCAGAATTCATCTACGGCACTGGAAATTATAGAGTTTATTACTTTCTCCTCATGGGGTACAGCATAAAACACCTCTGCAAACTTCTTCAGATCAGATCTCGGAACTTTTATTTGATCTAAAATATTTAAAGCAATTTAAAGCATGGTCAAAGAAATGTAGGAAACAAGAGCTGTCAATGAAAAGTGACTTATGCCTACAAAAGGAAGCTTTGACAGTTGTGTAAAAGAAAATTAAGTTGAAAATCAATTGACTATTCACAACTAGGCATGGTGACAAACAATCCTGCAAAGTTTCAATGAAATCCACCCAGCGGTTTTGGTGAGGAAAGCGCAGACAAGCTTATTTAACTTGAAAATTGACCATTAGGGGGTCATAACTGTGCAAACAAAATCAAGCGGAAAATAAAGAGAGTATGCAGAACTATGCTTGGTAACAATCAATCCTGTGAAGTTTCACTGAAATCCCCCAAAACTTGACCTAATAAAATAGTCGGCAATACCACAGTAATAAATATGCTATATATACTACCATAGTCTGTTAGATTCTACTGTCCCAATTTTTCCTATTTCTGCTCCACAAAAAAGTAATTAAATGGTATGTTCATATAAAGTAGGCTAAATTTAAATTGTAACAACAAATTTCAATATCAGTTAAACTGTTATTTTGCAATTATTTTATTGCTATGAATAAAAGTCTTGGTCATGTATGACCATTATAAAGCTTAAGTGATAAATAAAACCTCTGGGCATTCTTTCAGATCAAGCTGGACACTTGGGTGCAACCACTGACCTCACTTAAGCTAGCTAAATAGCTTTCCCATATGAAAGGGCTATAAGGTCTTGTTGGAATTTGAACTGTTGCAATAAGATGCAAATGATCCAAAGTTAGTGACCGCAACTGTTTGACCACAGAGGCCTTTTCTTAATTTCAGCCATTTCATGTAGTGAATACATTTGTAACAATATTTTGCTGATAGCATTTAAAAGTTCTAGGCATTAAATACTTCAACAAAGATCTTTAATTATAATGCTTATTTTTTATTAGCTACTAGTATTAGGTTTGGAATGACTAAAAACTGTTTATACCTTATGCTCTTGGGAGAGCAAGGGCCGCCCCCTGTCGCACTGATGGTTTATTATCTTGTTGATTGTTGAAAAACAGTGGACACAATGCTGGTATAGATAACCTGAAAAATACAGTTGATCTATGTTGGATTTTATATTTAGAAAATATCAATTATGATTATATTGTTGCAGAAAAATGCATCGTAGAAGTTCAAATACGCAGAAATACAATAACAAAGGCCGAAAAACCTTGGTGATTAATTACAAAGCATTTGAACAATAAACAGTGCATTATTATACTTTATCACATACCTGTGCTGCTTTTGCGACTCTGTAAAAATAATAATGCACAGGCCGTGTACATATTTTGATGTGTTATCATTTACGTTATACAATCATAATGAAAAAAGACGCAGGGAATGTCAGTGTTACACTTTAAAGTGCATCAATGAAAAAGTTCTTATATTGGATATGTGATATAAAGAATATTATATTCGTGTAGCTTCATTACTAAAATTGTTGAACAAGTATAACCAGAATAAAATAACTTGTTCTCCAGATAACATTCTTAAATGAAAAAATATGAACAATGAATTTTCTATAGAGTTTGAGAAGGGGTATAATGCAGTCAGAAAAAAAATTCCTGCAAGAGTAATATGTCTAGGAAATTATACGCAATTATTACCCTTAATCAAGTGTCAAGTTTCATGCAAATACCCATATGAAAATCCTTTGCAAGGACTCTGATTATTTATAACTAAGGTATGTTTTAGTCATTTTACCATCTCCAACTGGCCAGCTGTCATCACTAAAACAGATGAGAAGAGGCGCCTCTAACAACCTTGGAATATACATGTTCAGATTATCTTTGTTCACCTATAAATACAAATATACATTATGTAGGTAAATTTTTCAACATAACTTTAAAGTTTATTTTAAAAACAATTTTAATGTAACAATGATATTTGTTATAATATGTTTGGAGTTAATTTAAGAAACAATTTCTGATATTCACCACGAATGTTAAATTATTTATTACCAGAACAGACCTTCATATATTTCGAGCCCGTTTAAATTGGTCAGATTGCACACACAAGCTGACTGGCAAAATATAACTTTGTTTACACTGTCAACTTGTGATCCAATTAAACTCTGTCACTCAAATTGTTATCAATTAACAGTGGATTTTACTTCTAACTATGGATGGAAACAAGTACTGATTTCAGTACTGTGAATACAAGGGAGGTAAATGTACCTTGACAATAAAGAAAACAACGTTGATTTCTGAGTCCATTTACTTACTTTAATCTAACATTATTGAAACAACTTTGCCTTACATATATATCAAGTAGACTATTATCCCCACAGATCATGGTACTAGACAGCATGATAAAACAATAAATAAATAAACTAACCTTATATGTGTCCTTGTTTGACTGTTAACACTATATGTCAAATATTTGTCTCTTTAACATGATGGAATTATATAAATCTATATGTAATAATTTATGTTGGGTTTTACATTGCACCAATGCTGTAAAGATTACATGGCGACTTTCCAACTTTTCTGGTTTAGACAGATATCAGGTGCCATTCAGTGTATTATCTAAGGCACAAAAGGAACCTGAGTAGAACTAATAAGGGTCCATAAGCTATATGGATAGCTTCCTCACATGAAAACAAATCCCTGGAAGTTAAAGCAAGATCTGCCATCCGGTTTAAGAGGAGTTGCATTCACAAGATTTCGGGACGTACGGACAGACGTACGGATATACTCACAAAATGGTACTTAAAACAAGAGCCGGTTGAACCGGGTGATGCTCCCCGAATAAGTTTTGGACACAGGAAGGTATACCTCTTGTTGTGTCAGAGTTATGTCACAGACAAAGTTCAAAGTGTAAAAACAACCCAAATATTGTGCACGACACATTGTCTAAATATTGTGATCATTTTTGTGAAAAAGTTGTAAAATCCGATTTCAAATAACAAAGTTATGCGCCTGACATTATTTTGCTGCAAGGTCATACCCTGACCTTGACCTTCAAGGTAGCGACCCAAATGTTGCGCGCGACACAATGTCTCATTGTGGTGATCATTTCGGTGAAATACTTTTTAAATCTAACTTCAAATAGGGAAGTTATGGGCTGGACGTGATTTTGCTGCAAGGTCATGCTGTGACCTTGACCTTCAAGGAAGCGACCCACATGTTGCACGCGACACATCGTCTCAATATGGTGATCATTTCTGTGGAATATTTTTTAAATCCGACTTCAAATAACAAAGTTATGGACCGGACACGATTTTGCTGCAAGGTCATGCTGTGACCTTGACCTTCAAGGTAGCGACCCAAATGTTGCGCGCAACATGTCGTCTCAATATGGTGATCATTTCTGTAAATTTATTTAAAATCCAACTTCAAATAACAAAGTTATAGACCGGACACGATTTTGCTGCAAGGTCATGCTGTGACCTTGACCTTCAAGGTAGCGACCCAAATGTTGCGAACGACACGTAAACTCAATATGGTGATCATTTCTGTGAAATATTTTTAAAATCCGACTTCAAATAATGAAGTTATGGACCGGACACGATTTTGCTGCAAGGTCATGTTGTGACCTTGACCTTCAAGGTAGTGACCCAAATGTTGCGCGCGACACGTCGTCTCAATATGGTGATCATTTCTGTGAAATATTTCTAAAATCCAACTTCAAATAATGAAGTTATGGACCGGACACGATTTTGCTGCAAGGTCATGCTGTGACCTTGACCTTCAAGGTAGCGACCCAAATGTTGCGCGCGACACGTCGTCTCAATATGGTGATCATTTTTGTGAAATAATTTTAAAATCCGACTTCAAATAACAAAGTGATGGGCCGGACACAAATTCGGGACGTACGTACGGACTGACGGACGGACGGACGGACAACCTGACGACTATATGCTCCCCCGAAATTTTTCGGGGAGCATAAAAAGACACACAAGTAACAAGAGGGCCATGATGGCCCTGAGGTCGCTCACCTGTATAAAGGCCCCTCCAACCCACCCCCCAACGTTGCATGGCCAATTTAACCCAAGGGCTTTTATTTGCACAAACTTGGTAGACACCCATAAGAAGATGTTTCATGCTAAACGTCTAAGCTCTAGCTCATTGGGCTTTTTAAAAGAAGATTTTTTGAAGTTTTTACTATACACATATAGTTAAAAACAATGGCCGGGCCAGTTTTGACCCCAGGGCTTTTATTTGAACAAACTTTGTAGACATTTACTAGAAGATGTTTCATGCTTAATATCTAAACTCTAGCTATTTGGGTTTTTTCAAAGAAGATTTTAAGTTTTTGCTATACACATATAAAGAAAATCAATGACCCCCGGGGCGGGCCAATTTTGACCCCAGGTCTTTTATTTGAACAAACTTTGTAGACACTCACTTAAAGATGTTTCATGCTTAATATCTTAACTCTAGCTATTTGGGTTTTTTCAAAGAAGGTTTTTTAAGTTTTTGCTATACACATATAGGGAAAATCAATGACCCCCGGGGCGGTGCCAATTTTGACCCCAGGGCTTTTATTTGAACAAACTTGGTAGACACCTATTAAAACATGTTTGATGCAAAATATCTTAGCAATAGCTCTTTGAGTTCTTTAAAAGAAGTTTTTTTAAGTTTTTACTATATGCATATAGGGAAAATCAATGACCCCCCAGGGCGGGGCCAATTTTGACCCCAGGGCTTTTATTTGAACAAACTTGGTAGACACTTATTAGAACATGTTTCATACTAAATATCTTAGCTCTAACTCTTTTGGTTCTTTAAAAGAGGATTTTTTAAGTTTTTACTATATGCATATAGGGAAAATCAATGACCCCCAGGGCCGGGCAAATTTTGACCCCAGGGCTTTTATTTGAACAAACTTGTTAGACACCCATTAGAAGATGTTTCATGCTAAATATTTTAGCTCTAGCTCTTTGGGTTCTTTAAAGAAGATTTTTAAAGTTTTTACTATATGTATAAATGGAAAATCAATGACCCCCTGGGGTGGGGCCAACTTTGACCCCAGGGCTTTTATTTGAACAAACTTGGTAGACACCTATTAGAACATGTTTGATGCTCAATATCTTAGCTGTAGCTCTTTTGGTTCTATAAAAGAAGATTTTTTAAGTTTTTACTATATGCATATATGGAAAATCAATGACCCCCCGGGGCGGGGCCAATTTTGACCCCAGGGCTTTTATTTGAACAAATTTGGTAGACACTCACTAGAAGATGTTTCATGCCAAATATCTAAGCTCTAGCTCTTATGGTTTTTTTAAAAGAAGATATTTAAAGTTTTTTCTTTCGGTTGCCATGGCAACCAGAGTTCTGCATGGAATTAAATTCTTTGAACAATTTTTAAAAGTGACCACCAAAGGAACATTCCTGTGAAGTTTGGATGAAATTGGCTTAGTGGTTTATGAGGAGATGTCATTTAACGTAAAAGTTTACGGACGGACGACGGACGGACAGACGACGGACGGACGGATGCCGACGAAAAGCGATCACAAAAGCTCACCCTGTCACTTTGTGACAGGTGAGCTAAAAACGGAATGAATAGGATCAAAGAGAATTTACTGTTGTCCATTGTTCTCCAAGTCACACAAGTACCTCTGGGTTCGTACAGACGGGCAGATGTACGGACGGACGGACAAGTGCAACGCTATATGCTCCCCACTTTGTGGGGGCATAAAAAAAACCCAAACAATTGTTTTATAAAAGACCAATACACCGATTAACACCTTCAGAACTAGCAGACGACAAGCTATTCTTATCAAGTAAAGAAAATGGGTTGCGTATCTCACTGTATAAATGGTATGTAAAATGGTCTGACATATGGTAGGTTTAACAGTTTATTGAGATACTTTGGAGTCAAAAGATATGTTGAAGTTTATACTGTGATGAAGCTAAGATCCAAAGCTTTCTGATGGTGTAATACATTTTAAAATCGGATATTTAATTACAACAAACTAGCGGTTTATTTTGTATTGTTTTAGCATAAGCGGTATCTATTTTACTCGAAGATAAGAGAAGCAACTCCTACTTTTCACTTGATATACCTTGGTTATTTACGTAGATCATATTGAAAGTGTTTATGGGTGTATTAAATCATGAAAATATTTAAAGGTCATTTTTCTAACAGAGACAGTCACGTACGTTTCATTATTTACTATTGCGCGATAAATATTTTGTCAAATTATGACATTTAATCACTTTTTTGTTTTGACTTAACTAAGTTAAACACGGAACATGTTTAACGGAACAGATGCTTTGAATAAAATATAAAGCACATAATAAGATGTACATGCTGCGTGGAAAGCGTTTTTACCTATTCTGTAAGTCGTATTGAGAATGCATGTTTAAAATAGGAATCTGTGCCTACTAGAGCTAACTTATTATTCAACCACGATGATACATACAAAAATACAAATATTTACGTATCACTACACTCACCGAGCTAACTTCTGCCTCAGTGTGAACTTCTTTTGGGCATCCAACCCCTACAATGTGCCTCTTGGTGCAGCTACAGACTTTGACTTACTCTGTAACAAACAAAGTTATATATTAGATACCAATAAAACTACAATCAACTTTATATTTCAAGAAATATCTTATTGAACAGGTAACATTGTAAGTCTTTGGTTGATTTTCAATTGAAAAAGTTTTATATATGAAGACTTTTTAGCATTAATGTTGGAGGAAGACCTAAGGTGCTCCTATTTGCTTTATATCATGCACAGTGAGGCAGGCACCCTCAGACAAGCTTCTTGCAGAACCAGGCATCCTAAGACAACTTTATCATGTTAGCTAGATAGCTTTCTTACATGAAGACTTTTACAGTTAATTGTTAAACTTGAAACCACAGTGGTGAGTAAACAAGAATTCTAATCAAGTGACTTTAAACATTTTGCCTAGCCAGTGTTTAAGTTTAGGCACCACAGTGAAATAGCTGACCATAATTTATTATTTTATTAAAATTACTTATTTATGTATAAATAATAATTTAAAAAATAAAAAACATTTTCTCAAAACTTGCTAAAAAACATTTCCTCAAAACTAGCTATTTTGCTGCTGCTTTACTCTCTTCTCTCATTCTGTGAATCTCTTCTTGTTGTTCTTGTAACTTCATCTTGAGGCCTCTCTGTCGTTTCTTGATCTGAGGGTATGAATCATCGGCACCTTTATTTCGGATTCGTTGTCTTTGCTGCTCTAACCATTGTAATTCCGCTTTTGTCTTCTCCATTAAGGCATTTTCTCTCAGTTTCAATGATTGCTAAAGAAAACATATAGTTTAGAATCTTTAAAAGAACTTTAACAAAGCAACATTTTTGGTCCGGTCTTATTGCAGTGAAATCACAAGCAAATTTGTTAAATTTATATCCCCCGACTAGTACTGGTTATTACTAACACAACAACGGAATAAATACAAGGTAAGGCTTTTTTAAAAAAATTATCATGGCATGCAAATTTCCTTTTTGTATTGATGATTCCAATAAAGTCTGGTTGAAATCAATCCAGTAGTTGAAAAGAAATAGAAATATTGCTTTATATGCATAATGCAAAATTAATCAAGGGTCATAACTATGTCTTGAGGGCTCTGACCGGAACAAAGCAATGATATGCACATCTCCTCTTGGTATTAATGGTTCTCATAAAGTTTTGTTGAATTCCAGCCAGTAGTTGCAGAGAAATAGCGTGACAAGGATTATTGCTATATATGCATACTGCAAACTTATCAAGGGCAATAACTCTAAGTTAAAGGGTCTGAATGGAACAAGGCCATGATTTGCTCATCTTTTCTTGATATTGAAGGTTCCCATAAAGTTTCGTTGAAATCCAGCAAGTAGTTGCAGAGAAGTAGCACGGAAACGATTATTGATCTATATGCAAATTGCATTTATAACTAATCAAGGGCCATAACTCAGAGTTAAAGGATTTGACCAGTACACGGTACAAGGCGACAATATGCCCATCTCCTCTTGGTATTGATGGTTTTCATAAAGTTTTGTTGAATTCATGCCGTTAGTTGCAGAGAAATTGCGTTAAAAGGATTATTGCTCTATATGCATAACTAATCAAGGGCCAAAGCTATAAGTTAAAGGGTCTGACCGGAACAAGACGACGTCGGACGATAAGCACATCTTTTCTTGATATTGAGAGTTCCCATAATATTTATTGTATTCCAGCTAGTTGTTGCAGAGAAGTAGCGCGGAAACTATTATTGCTCTATACGCAAATTGCATTTATAACTAATCAAGGACCATAACTCATAGTTAAAGGGTCTGACTGGTACAAGGCGTTGGTATGCTCATTTCCTCTTGGTATTGAAGGTTCCCATAAAGTTTTGTTGAATGCCAGCCATTAGCTGCAGAGAAGTAACGAGGAAATGATTATTGTTCTATACGCATACTGCATAACTTATCAAGGGCAGTCATTTCGAGTTAAAGGATCTGACCAGAACAAGCCGATGACCAGGGATTCTTCACTTGATATTGATGGTTTCCATAAAGCTTCCTTGAACCCCAGCCAGTAGTTGCAGAGAACTTTCAACTAGCATGGACACAAAATTCGGACGGACAGATGGCGGGTCGGACAAAGTGGCAACTACATGCTTACCTTTGGAGGACTGCATAAACAGAGAAAAAAAGACTAATTAATAATAGTTTTAACTTCCCGGGCTTCAGGCAAGTGGGATATTTGACTTATTTCGATAACTGCTGATAGTTCTAATCATAATTGTGTGATGTAATTACATTTCTAAGTCTGATTAACATCTTAGTAACTGTGAAAAATAAGCCTTACAATTTCTTTAACAGTTTAACTTCATTTTCTTTAACAACTACCTCTACATCATAGACATACTGCAGTGCTTCAAAATCATTTTACAATTACACTTAAGCAGGCATATCTCTTCTCGATTTGTGACTCTTATTTTGAAATATTGCATATTTGCAACAAATATCAAACATACTACAAGTCAATGCAATTAGTGTATTTGTTACATACGTTCAAAATCTAAAAGTTCAAAAACTTTAAATTACAGTTACTTCTTAAAACAACCCCTCAAAGAAGAAAGCATCTGGTAAAATAATTATATCAATATTCTACCTTTTTAAACTGCAACACTCTCTTTCGAGTATTATCATGTAAAGTGAGTATAATATGTGTAAGTGAGTATGTCTCTTTCCTAAAACCGTCATTTTCCCGATATTACTAATTTTTTAGTCATATCGGGAAAATGACGGTTTTAGGAAAGAGACGTCTACGTTAAAAATAATTGTAACATTCAATTATATTTGAGTTCTACAAACCTCTCAAAGGGTTATTTTATCCCGAAACCAAGTGCCTATGGTTTGGATCAAAACAGAAGCCTCTAGAGCGTTAGCAAGGTTTTTCCATAGTGGGACTGTGTGACCTAGATTTTGATATTAAAAGTTGACCTAGAAATCATCGAAACAACCTTTCTGCCCAATTTCAAGCATATTTGGAACAAAACAATAGCCTTTACAGTAGGGTCTTCCCCCTTTTTTAATGGTTAAATGACACTTAAAATCTAAATATATTCATTAAATCATAAATTATGTATAGGTTCAAGTATAACTAATGTTATCAAGAAGTCATGATTGGTCTCTAGTATATCATACATGCTCAAAAATCTGGAAACAAAGCGATCCCTCGGAAGCATTAATCACAGCAAATTTACAGAGAATTGCAGACTCGGTTTGATTGAGTCTGTACATCAGGGAAAATGAATAGTATATGATACATGCTCAAGTCCCTCCTCCTGGCATTAAATTGAAAATATTTTTTGTAAACTGATAATGTATCAATTTATCACCCACATATTTATAATAATCTCTAAAAAACTAATACTGGGACCCAATTTGTATGCTTTATAGTCCCCTGACGCCTGTTTATTTATTAACACATAATTTGTAATAAATTCTCTAAAAGACTAATTTTTTGAAGTAAATATCACCAAATAACTTAATTGATATTTAGATGAGAAAGGTTTACCTACAGACATTCACTATAACTTAAAATAAGGCAGTAATTTGTTTCAAAACTAAACATTAACTCTAAACCGACAATATTAAGTGAAATAACCTAAATTTATCAATTTTAGGTTGAACAAATATAAAAAAAAAACACTGAAATATATTATAGAAACTTCTATATTTATACAATAATAATATACAAAAATCTCGAAGGGCATGAATTTAAAAATCCTCCTCAAATTTTATAAATCAAAATGAAAAGTTTAGTGGTTTTCCTATTAAATAAATTCATGATAGGTCTTTAATAATAATAAACTTTAAAGATCCTGTATGTTTTATGATTGATATTTTTATTGTGTGTTTACAACACTTGCAAAAAAATATATATGTAACTAAATAATTAAGCAAATAAAACAATTTTCAAACATCAAAGAATATGTAAAATGTGTACTGCAAATATTTGTGCACATTCATTATATGTAGTCAATAAATTATATGCATTCATTTCTTATTGGAAAATTTGACTTAGAATTTACAGAAAATAAATTTCTTACTACCTCCCTTTATTTACATGAAATGTTGAATTCGGTAATATCTTTATAAATAATGCTTATTGGAACTTATAATACTGAGAGATCTAAAATCAAAATAACACTAATACATGTCAGAAGGGAATTTATGATGTTATGATGTTATAACATCATGTTGCTAAAAACTATTTCTTCACCAGGGGTGCCAGACCTTATATCAGACTAAAATTAACTTATACATATTAATAAACTTATTCTTTATCCAGTCAGATCTAAATAGGTAAGTTAATAAATGCTAACTGTTGTTTTCCTCCCTTCGGTGTGGCACCTCCTCCATGGATATTAATAGATATTATGTTAATATTTTTCTTCCAAAATTATAATTAGATATGATTTTTTTGGGATTAGACATATTTTTTGACACATTAATGACCTGCTAAGCTAAAAATAACATATTTTTTTTTCTTTTTTTCTGTCATAGAATTGTATTGTGTATGAACTATCAAATGACAAATTTATATATGTTGATTATTTTGAAAAGCTTATGAGAGACAACTCCTATAGGCTAGCCCGTACCAAAATGAAAGGTTTGCCGTAAACTCGCCGCAACTTTGCCGCAAATTCGCTGCAACCTTTTAGTTCGCCAAAACACTGTGTCAAGTGTTTGCCAGATATCGCCACTAGTGGCAACTCTGTGGCAAACATTTGGCGACTATGCGGCGAATTCACCAGAATATTAAGTTGTTCGCCAAAAGTTTGCCAGAAACTTTCAGTGGAAAACTAATTTGCCAGAGATTGCCAGAATCTTTCTATCAAAAAATATATTCGCTGAAAGTTCACCAGAAACTTTTCTATAAAAACAAGTTTGCCAGATAATCGCCACAAACATATCAGTTCTGAAAGTTAATCCAACTTTGTTCAGTAAATAACTATTTTGCCAAGGAATTATATTATTATGCACATATAAAAAAAGTCCTTCATGTACCTACCTATATATATAACCTACCTACCCAACCTTATTTTAATGGGTCGGGAAGTGGAAACAAATTTTTTTTTATTTTTTGCCTATGAGTTATCAAATTGAAACATCATATGTATCATAGAGGGTATTGTAGTTCACAATAACAGTTAAAAAATTATAAGGTAGAAGACCCATAATGAAATCGGCAATCTTCGACAATTACCGCCATATCTCGCCATTTATCGTAACGAACTTCGTTTGTTTACGTATAAAGTCGGAATTCTAATAATAGCGGATATCCCCGGTCACGTGGTAGTATTCCCCAAGAAAATGACGTAATTTCCGCAGATATCTAACATGGCGTCTTACAGCGTGATACGCTCGGTCGATTCAAAAAAAGTGTAAAAAGATGCAGAAAACTCAAGTATTCCGACTTTATTATAGAACATAACTATAGTGCAGGTAACCAGTATTACGGCTCAACCAAACCAGCTCTACAAGACATCAACTCTTCCTAAATCGGTTGATAATGCACTTACAAACTTGCTTGCATAATTTCAGTCGGCCATATTCCCTAGCCATGAAAGATAACTCCCTGTTTCCCTGTCTAAATTCCACCAAATTATTCCCCTTTCAAATGAACTCAAGGAAGGGACTTTTTAAAAAGACTTTGTATTTATTTATTCGATTTTTTTTTCAGAAACGGACAATTTTTTCTTTCCCTTTGTTTAATTTGCATTCTATCAATATGTGGTTCCTATGGTAAACATATGAGTTTTGATGGTAAACAAATGAATTTTCTGAACCGAAAGTAATCTAACGCACAGCGCTGCTGTCATCACATGTAAACAATACATTAAATCAGTAAGAATATTGAGATATTTGTTTGACTATCAGTTTCAAATGCAAAATATTAATATGGAAAACAACTATGTGTAGTCTATGTGTATTGTTTTAATGTGTTTGTCTGATATTTTAGTTGTAAAAGCCATGTACACTTAGTGTCGCTTCATAGCAACCGATTTTAAACGTAAGCGGTAACTGAACGAGATATGACAAAGCGCATGCTCGCGCACTGACTTCCGCTATATCGAAATCTTGCATAGACTTATAGCGAAAGTTCGTAAGTGTAATGAGGGTTGGAAAGAGGGAAGAAGAATCGTTGAGTTTGGCGTGTTACGGTCAAACCTAAGATTTTGTAAAAAATGTAGACTTGGACAGTTGGCTACATTAACAGCACTGATTAACTTTTGACAACATGTTGAATTTAAACAGGGTGTGTCTGGTTATTTGTATGTGAAATGTCGAAACACAGAATGCGGTGTTAGGAAACAGGTAAGTGATTTAATGTATTGCCATCATAGTTTTTACATTAAGTACTATATACTGATTATGAGTTCATAGATGTAAGGTCTCGTAACCAAAATGAATATTATGATTTATCAGTGTTTATTTACTTGTCTTCCAATGATGTCAAACATGTAAAATTATGCGGACCAAATTTATGTTTCAGATTTAATAAATAATTAATTTATTATACAGAATACATGTATCTTGTTTGTGTTGAGCTGTAAAAACTACTCCTTATTGTGAAAGAAGTGGCTAGCCAAAAGTTCTAGCCGTACGTGACTCATATACTCCATATAATTTTGAAAAGTGCCGTACGGCTAGCCAATACAGTGTGTCCTGGCTAGTCGTACGTGACTCACGTACGGCTAGAACTTTTGGCTAGCCGTACGGCTAGCCACTTCCTATTGTGAAATGTTTTATAAACTTCCCTCTGAACTGTTTTAATTTCCCCAAAGTCACTGAGAAATTTGAAAAACAAATGATAAAACGTTGCTAAATTAAATCTTGCAACAATGCAATTTTTAGTAAGACATTACAGAATCCTACATGTACATTATATAAAAGACACAGTTTACACTAGGCTGCCAATACACACAGTCACAGTACTAATATTCAACGTACATGAGGCAGCTAAAAATAGCTCTATATTAATTTATGCAATGTGTTATTATCACGGTTATGTAAATTACAATCCATGTGAAGTTTTTTTTGACAAAATATTTGTATACTTTAATGAAATAATTTGTTTCTTTCATTTTCTTACAGCAATGATTGATAGTGTAGGTGGGCCGGTGAGGGTCAACAATTTGTATTAATATATAAATATACCAACAATTGGAAATAAAAACATGAAAAGAAATGGAGAGACGTGTTGGAAATATCATTGAGACAGCAGTGGCTTCTATGTCGACAGAATCTGCTGCATAAGATCAAGGAAATGGAGTAAGACACATTTACAATGATATTTTCGAAATAACATGTACTTTAATTGGAAGAATTTCAAAAATTATTTTGTAATTATATGTCTATGCAGCTTATCATGGTATAATCCTATATTGCTGGCACACTCTTGGTTTAGGGAACCAAAGAATATTATACAATCCATATATGAGAAAAGAATTTTTGAACAATGGCTTTGTTGTTTTTGCATGTTTCTCTATATTCATGTACATATTTCTTTTTTCAAAATAACATGAATGTGTAATTGTTTTTTTAAAAAAGTATTTATTTCTACATGACAAACTGGGTCCGCCTGGGCTCCTTGCCATTGGTACTTGTTGCTGGGTCATATGGGGGTTGCGTTCATTGAACGCCGCCTTTCCTTGTTGATCTTGTTTATCATATTTTACCTTCATTGGTTTAAGACTAAAATTCATATTAAATACATGCATTCTTTTTAAGGGATGTGCATCATGAAGAATCAATGGTATCAGAACACAACATCATGGAAGATCTTATTGACAAGATCTCGGAGGATGTCCTTTGCCAGATGTTTGCCAGCACTAAAGTGAGTACTGGTAGTTTGTTTTCTGTATTTTGTTATTTACAAAAGTAAAGGACTATGCAAAACTGACTGGTGTTGTTGAACTGTTTGTGTTATGTCAGTTGCTTCAATATATGAATATCTCTCCATATACTGTTTGTACATATGTATTTTTTTTTTATTCAAGGTCTATTCATCAGTCAGATGCTAAAGTTACAAATGACAGTGAATGGTCAGATTTATACAATTGTGATTAACAACCCTCAACAATACATCAAACAAAAATGCCTATTAAACGGTAAGTTGAAATCTATGAGGATTTTTTTATATATATTTATAATCATGGTGTAGCAATTAAATGATAATACTGTGATAATTTTGTAATGCTATTTGGGGTCCTCTTCAATAGAACAATTTGATGTATCTTCATGTGATGAATAATCGATATGCAGTCCGAATTATTTCATAAAAGTGATTACTAAAATTGGTCAGGAAAAAGTCGTGCAATTAGCATTAATAATTAACAAAACTTATTCTAGTAACTGTATGAACATTGTGTTACATTAATTATAAATATGTTATTGTCAATTCATTGGTGTTCAATCTTCAATATTTGTCAATATTACGTTTAAAGATGAATTTTAAAATACAGAAAATATTTTTGAAATATATTTTTACAATAATTACAGTTCTCACAGACAGTAAAAGGTTGAAAACAAATCAGAAGTGGTCCACATCTTAAAAAACCTCACAGCAGATTAAGACTTTCCCCGAAATTTCCCTGTAAAACCCGCAGTGGTATGTCCAGTGCAGTAGATACTGCATGGCACAAAAGAGGATTTGACAGTTTAACATGTAAGTAAAATAAGATTATTTTTATCCCCCCACAATGTGGGAGCATATAGCGTGGCACTTGTCAGTCTGTCCCAAAATCTTGTGAACGCAACTCCTCTTAAACCGGATGGCAGATTTTGCTTAAACTTTCAGGGATGAACAACCTTAATGTGTAGATGGTAGTAAAGGAAGGAATTTTTGCTGCGACCAAACTTAACAGAATTATGGCCCTTTGTTGATTTTTTCACTATATACTATGTAGAAATTTTGTGAAAGCAACTCCTCTTAACCAGATGGCAGATTTTGCTTAAACTTCCAGGGATTAACAAACTTAATGTGTAGATGGTAGTAAAGGAAGGAATTTTTGCTGCAACCAAATTTAACAGAATAATGGCCCTTTGTTGATTTTTAGTTTTCAACTTGTGGCACATGTAGTCCAAAAACTATTTGACCTAGAGTCATAAGATTGACAGAACACTTCAACAGTGGCGTGTGGGGGCATCCGTGTTTTATTGACACATTTCAAGTTTTTCTCAGATATCATGTCAGTAATGATTTAGAATTTGTCAGAAAAGTATCTGTGTATATTTTAACCACTGTTATTGATGTATAATTGAAAAAGTGAGTTTTGCATACAAGTAAGACTGGTTAGTCAACATTGTTCTTTCAAACAGTGGCATTTAGAAGAAAAATCCTAATGGTTATTTGAATTACCCTGGTTTTAACTTTGAGTTCTGACCTAGCTGTCATGTTCACAGCATGGTTCATTTTTGTGTCGCCTCTAAGGAGTAGTGGCAACATATAGGGATCATTTCTCCGTCGTCTTGTCTATCTGTCCGTCCGTCACAAAATTTGTCCGGACTACTCCTCATAAACTACTGGTGCAATTTCATCCAAACTTTACAGGAATGATCAGTACCAAGTCTAGTTGTGCATTTTGTCAGCATTTTCCGGTTCAATGATTTTTGTCTGAGTTATGGCCCTTTAATAATTTTTATTTTTAAAGTTTGTCTTGACTACTTCTCTTATACCACTAATGCAATTTCAATGTAACTTTACAGGGTTGATCTGTAGCTTAAGTCCTTGTGCATATTTCATGGGTTTTCCGGTTGAATGATGTTTGGCCGAGTTATGGCCCTTTGATAAAAAGGTATTTTTTTCTGTGTGTTGCCAGATACACAAAAGCTTGTCCTGACTACTCCTCATAAACTACTGGTGCAATTTCATCCAAACTTTACAGGAATGATCAGTACCAAGTCTAGTTGTGCATATTGACAGCATTTTCCGGTTCAATGATTTTTGTCAGAGGTATGGCCCTTTTTTTAAGTTTGTCCGGACTACATCTCTTATACCACAAATGCAATTTCAATGAAACTTTACAGGATTGATCTGTTGCTCAAGTCCTTGCACATATTGCACAGGTTTTCCGGTTGAATGATATTTTGGCAAGTTTGATGAAAAGGTGTTTTTTTTTTCTGTGTGTTGCCAGATACATAAAAGCTTGTCCGGACTACTCCTCAAAAACTACTGGTGCAATTTCATCCAAACTTTAAAGGAATGATCAGTACCAAGTCTAGTTGTGCACTGTCTGTCTGTCTGTCTGTCACAAAACTTGTCCCAACATGAAATTGGCCATCATGAGGCGACACATGTGATCACTGATCGCTTTTGTTTGTTATTTTGGTGTTTTTTTAACATGATACCTTGATTTCTTAACTAAGTTAGATAAACTTATAATATATGAGCCACTTGTCATTTGTAAATAAATGTAGGTTTTGCAATGCAAATACATGTTCATCCCAACAGATCAAAATCAAGCCAGCAATAAATAATAATTGCCTTTGGTGTTTATTTTATTCATTTGTAGGTGGGCTTTACTAATAGATTACTGCCACTTTACGTCATAGTGGGGTTTTGGGGTATCATTCACCTTCAGTGATAGTTCTAGTTTTATCCAGTATAAACATGGTAACATGTAAATGAAAAATAAACCTTGTTTTTTTCAGTGTACTGCACCTATAAACTAAATATGGAGAGTAGCTTAGTCACCAAAGCAGTCAACACCAAAATACACACAATGGCCAGGGCACTGAAACTTGGAAGAGTGAAAGAGTAAAGTAGTGCGTTTTTAGCTAACAAAGTGACATTGCGAGCTTTTGTCTATCTTTTGTCCGTAAACTTGATCTTTAAACAACATCTCATAAATTGCCAAGCCAATTTCATGCAAACTTACGATATTGTCTAGTCAGTTTTTGTTTGCTTGCAATCGTTATATGACATGACTAAAGACATTTAGTTTTATTCTTAAGTTATTATGTTTATGTTTGTATAAGACCCAAATATATTGTTAAGATTCATTTTTACAAATTTGAAAGCCATTATTGTTCTAGTCAGTTTTTGTTTTGCTTGCAATCATTATATCACATGGCTAAAGACATTTAGTTTTAATCTTTAATAGTTATGTCTATATTTGTATAAGACCCAAAAATATTGTTAAGATTCATTTTTACAATTTTGAAAGCCATTATTGCTCTAGTCTGTTTTTGTTTTGCTTGCAATTGTTATATGACATGACTAAAGACATTTAGTTTAAATATTTAGTTATTATGTCTATGAGGGGCGTCCGTGGCCGAGTGGTTAAGGTCATTGACTTCAAACCACTTGCCCCTCACCGCTGTGGGTTGGAATCCCGACAGGGACTTTGGATTCTTTCTTGTGAGGAAGCTATCCAGCTAGCTTAACTGAATGTCAGTGGTTCTACTCAGATACCCGTTCGTGCCTGAAATAATGCAAGGAAGGGCACCTGAACGTCACGATATGACCTTTACTGTGTTGATGTGACGTAAAAACCCAAAACAAGCAAACAAAAAATTATGTCTATGAAATTCGTTGTTTGTATAAGACCCAAATATATTGTTGTGATTAATTTTAACAAATTCGAAAGCCATAATTGTTCGTGTCAGATATTGTTTTGCTCACAATCATAATGTTATATGACATGAGTTTAAATCTGAAGGTATTATGTCCATGAAATATGTTGTTTGTTTAAGACCAAAATATATTTTTGAGATTCATTTTTACAATTTTGAAAGCCATTATTGGTCTAGTCTGTTTTTGCATAACACATAACGCTATTGTTAGTATTTATTGTTATTAATAGTGATTTGTCTAAGTGGATGTCGAAGTATGTATGTTATTCCATGCCAGTTCATGTTTAAATGAAACTTTTTGTCCAGATAGAAGATTTCAAACTGTAACTTTTCTGATTTTTAGCTTTTACAACAATATTATATTTCCCATTTTTGGTGCTAAGAAATACTGCAACATGTGCTGAATAATAGCTATTGTCAAACATTGTTTATATGCTCCCCGAAAAATTTCAGCGGACCATATAGTCATTGGGTTGTCTGTCTGTACGTACATACAAACCTGAATTTGTGTCCAGCCCATAACTTTGTTATTTCAAGTTGGATTTTAAAACTATTTCACAGAAATGCTCACCATATTGAGACGACCTGTCGCCCGCAACATTTGGGTCGCTACCTTGAATGTCAAGGTCACACCATGACCTTGAACAAAATCATGTCCGGCCCATAACTTCGTTATTTGAAGTCGGATTTTAAAGCTATTTAAAAGTAATGATCACCATATTGAGACGATGTGTCGTGCGCAGCATTTGGGTCGTTGCCTTGAAGGTCAAGGTCACAGCATGACCTTGAACAAAAATTGTGTCTGGCCCATAACTTGGTTATTTGAAGTGGGATTTTACAACTATTTCACAGAAATGATCACCATATTGAGACGATGTGTTGCACACACCATTTGGGTCAATACCTTGAAGGTCAAGGTCGCAACATGACATTGAAGCAAAATCGTGTCCGGCCCATAAATTCGTTATTTGAAGTCGGATTTTACACCTATTTCACCGAAATGATCACCATATTGAGACGATATGTCACATGCAACATTTGGGTCATTACCTTGAAGGTCTAGGTCACAGCATGACCTTGAAGCAAAAATGTGTACGGCCCATAACGTCGTTATTTAAAGTGGGATTTTACAACTATTTTGGAATTATCACACTTTGAACTTTGTCTGGGACATAACCCTGAAACTTCAAAAGATATACTTTTCTGTATCTAGGATCACCCCGGTTCAACCGGCTCTTGTTTTAATTGATTATTAAGTAATATAAACAATTCATGATAGCATCATAACTAAAGAGTGGAAATTTATGAAAGTCAAATATGTATAGAATCAGTTGCTAATAAAATGTGTGTAAAATTTATCTCTTTTTGGGAATTAATTTCTTTATTTTACAAATTTATCAAATTTCATTTTATTCTACTGATATGTTTGTAATATTTCTTTTATTTTCTATTGAAAAAATGTGTTAAACCAATATGTATTTGTTTTTCTTATAATTCAGCTAGTTTTAATTATTCCAATGTTTGAAAAAATTG